ATGTGGGGTGAGTCTTTTTTTTGTGGCTTGAAATGCATCAATTATAGGTCTTACGTGCGTTAAACACGATTTGGCATGTAGCCGTTTGAGAGAAACACTTTTTTTTTAACACGTGGTAGCGAAAACCTGATGGCACTGCAAGACGCCTCCTGCAGTTGTATGCGCCGGTGGATGCGAGGAAAGGTTTGGTGATGGTCGCTCCTACACGTATCGGACGGACGAGGGGTGGGCTAAGCAACGGAATCTCTCCGTCTTTCGCCGTCCTGTTGCTAGGAGCTCTTGACGAAGGACCGCGATTAAAGCCTGCGGTTTGGCCCTTGTCCGAAACGTTCAACGCAACTTTTACCATTCTGTTCTCACCTCCCCGATAGGCCTTTCCCACTGCAGAGGCTTATTTGCAGGGCTGTTTTCTTTTGTTCATCACGTAAGTAATGTGGTGATCATTTATACATTTATTGTAAAAAATTATTGCCACTTTGGTTTAAGCGGACCATGAAGTGGTGGGAGGCTGATATTCACGAAATATACTCGCACGGAAGTGGTTTTATTTACAGGGCCTGACTTTTATTTGTCAACGTAAGTCTGTACGTAAGGAGTGGGCAATTATTGGCGTGCCCGTGGCATCCAAGACAAATGGGTTCACTGAATTGCATCCAACGGATGAAATGGCTTTTACAATTGCGTGTGCATGGTCTCATATCATGCACCGCTTCAGTGAGCTTACCAAGAATGCTCTTTGGTTATTTCGGTAGAGTCACGAAAGAACCAAAGAGTATAGATTCCTGCATTCACGAAAGCTTCAAATCTAGATTATTGCCAAGAATGTTCCGGTCAGAATTTGTCCTAAAATTGCCCAAGTTTTATTTATTTATTTAAAGTGGCGTTCTGGCGAACTCGCGTGTCCGGCAGACTCGGTCTGGCGTTGGAGGAGGTTTAACTCTGCTGGACATAATGCAGATGTTATTGCATTTTAATCTGCGCAAATGCAATCGTGTAATTCCTAGGCTGTTATTTTCTGCATTTGGCACTGGTGCCCAGATAACGCGACACTCGGCAATAACACTGACCTTAAAATAATTGGATTTACCACGCTGGTCGCTGAAACCGCTTTTTTTTAAAGGGGGGGGGGGGGATACATGTTTACCCTCCATCTCCTTTTTGCGGTAGATGCTTTTCCAAAATAAGACTCGAAGCGACATCGCATAGCTTGGACCGCACAGTCGAGCAATCCAGAGTGCACGATACGGCTGTCTGCCAAGTAGCGCCTACAGTACACACAGTCGTCCCACGTCCGGTCGCATACGAGTGACTTCAAACCGCATAGAGCGAATTTTGGGTAGATGTTGGTTAGCAGCATATACGAGAAATCGGACAAAGCGGGGGGGGGGGGAGACCTATATGAGTTTTGGGGATAATGGCCCTTCAAAGCGCAACACATTTGTGCGCTCAGTATCGACAATGTGACCGCCGCTGATAGAACCGACTTGAGCTACGTGAGCTCTTATTTACACAGATGTCGGGAACGGCTCCCAAGGACGTGGAGTGAAGCGCCGGGCATTGTATCGAACAACCAAGAACCGTGATGTTGGTGGTGGTGTCTTGGTACTGAAGTTGGACCTCCCAATGTGCGGTTTGTACATAATGAATGCACTGGGCGGGCGGTCGCTCTTGCCCTGCAGGCTTGGGTAGGGGAACCCCACCGCTGATTGCGTTTGTTCCCGTGAAGGAGACCGCACCGCGAAACCTTGGCCGTGTTGTATTCGTGTTATCCGACGCCTTGTGCTTTGGTTTTAAATTGAAATTTGACGTACAATGGTTCAACTGTTACTCCTTTTTCTGCAAAAGTGCATGATCAGACGTGTGTGAGCGCCGCACTATGCCAGCTGTTTAATAAAACCAGATTCCTGCCCATTATGCACAGCAATCGTAGGAATCTTCTTAAAGCGCCGTCGATCCGGACTTTGTTGGGATATTTGGCCCAATTGAGTTCATGGGGGGGGGGGGAGCGGGGGGTATAGCATCTTGGGAGGCTATAATATCTGTGCGAACCGCCGTGGGTTTAGTTAAAACATCTATCGTTACCGAGCAGCGAGAGGGAAGGTTGTCTCAATTGCTCGGTTTTGTTAACGCGCACCAATCGAGACGCGATCGTATCGCGTGGCTGCAGGTATCACGACGGCCACTCGAGGCGCTGTTTACTATGTCAATGATCTCTTTGTGTACAATTCGTTAAACTGGCAGGATGGAACAGGGGGGATGGGGCGCTTTGGGGGGGGGGTATTAAATAACATACATGATTTTGCCTCTTTCCACACAACTACCCGACACGCTTGGCCGTTTTTCTTAAAGGTCGCGATCATTACACAACAAAGAGCTCGCCACAAATGAACCACCAATACCTTGGCGACCCTCGTCAAGGAGCAATAAACCAGCCGCACGCCAACTCCGGTCGTTATCCTCGCAGCGGCTGTTGGCTGCTGCCGTCGGACAAAGACGGCGGTCACCGCAGCGCGTGGCGCCTTTCAGATGCGCTTCTGCGGCCGTCTGGAACGCTCTTCCCTTCCGATGTTATGAAGCCACTGGAGTTATGCACTTCTTAAATCCCAGATTTGAAACTCACTTCTTTTAGCACTGCTTTTGTGTTTAGTTCTTCCTCTGCATTTCCGATTTAGCACGGTTGGCTACGTAAGGCGTGCAAGCAGTTCAACAATGTGTAGCACTACTTGACTTGAGCACATTTTTCATACATCCTATATACGGCGATGCACTATTCTATGCATCGTGTGAATACAATTTCGCTAAAAACCCCTCTTGTGATCGATCACCGGGTCATGCAGGCGCTGTGCGGGAATCGAACAAAGGCTGCCGAGTTAATTCCTAGCGCAGCACGCTAACAACTGCGCTGCTTTAACAGATACCTGGGGCAAGTGCTGTTAGCGAGCAGCACCTACGAATGCCGACGCGATCGGGTGGATGGCCAGGAACTACGCTTGTGGGCGCCTGTTATCTCCCGAGTGGCGACGTTTTCCAACAACGCATCAGGTACTCCTTTTTGTGGCAGAGTTGACCTGCGGGACGCCCACGACCGACTGGTTCGGGTAATCGTCACTGGATGGTGTCACACCGTGAGCGGGGAATCATCTTACACGCGAGTCGCCGGGTTTGTGGCGCGGCGCTCCCGTCGGCCAATGCGCTGTCGCTTCCCACGCTCTTGGAGGCACGCACAAAGATAAAACAAAAAATCCCCCGTATGGCTTTAACAGACTGTGAGGGCAAGTGCTGTTAGCGAGCACCTATGAAGGCCGGAACGGTACAAGAGGGGGTGGGTGGCCAGCACCACGCCCGACCGCCTTTGTCTCCCCAGTGGGGATGTTTACACATCGCACCAGGCTGAGTCGACCTAGGGGAGGCCCAGGACCGGTTCAGACAATCGTCATCGGTGTTGGCCGTGAGCGAGAATCGAGCCTGGGTCGCCGGGTTCATAGCGCAGCGTAGCGCTAACCGCTGCACTCCCGCTCCCCACTGGAGGCACGCACGCACACACACGAACACACACACGCACGCATATACTCAGACACACACACGTCTCATGGTACCAAACACGGGCACTCGGACACTCATTCGCACCCAGTCGAGGGCTGAAAGATTAATCGATTTCAAATCGAAATTTGAAATAATGCGATTAGCAAACCGCAAAGGCTGCGATTTGAAAAGTCCTATTACTTTTTGGAATTGTTTTCTTAATTATTATTATAACTTTATTTAACTTAAATTGTTCTATGTTTGTTCTATTTCAATAAAAACATTTTAATAAATAACATGTTGGAAGCAAGTCATATCTTTTAAGCTATCATCCTTTTGAATAAATATAGCAGTTTACATTTTGATGGTATCATGTGCTAATGCTCCATAGCATGTTTTAAATCTATTACACAGTGAATATTGAACTGAAGTTTGACCTAAAAAAATGTAATCCCAATATCTGTTATAAAATCGCAATTAGAGATTTTCCCCAAATCGTTCCGCCCTAACCCAGTCGCACACCCACGTGGACTCACTGGGGCGGCAGGGGGGGGGGCATCGCGGCTGAACTGAGGTCGCCGTGGTGGTGGCGGCGCAGGAAGGAAGCGGCACTTTTCGCTGATAAATAATCTGAGGTCCGCACGCGACGACGAGGAGGGGGAGGAGAAGGAGGGGGAGGGGGAGGAGGAGGGGTGGCCCCGCCCCTGCCAGCCACCAATTGGAGCCGCCGTTCAGCGCAATTTGTGCAAACCGCAACTCAATCACATCGGTTGTACGATCACCCCCCCTCCTCCTCCCCTCCTCCACACACACCCACCGCCCCTTCCGTACACCACCAGCACCACCAACCAACCACCCACCCAGCCCAAGAGTATAAAGGCACGGGTTCACTCCCTCTCCCGTCTACAACCGGTGCTTCTCCTGGTACACGGACGCGTGCTCTCTCTCTCTCTCCTCCCCTCCTCCGTTCTCGTCCTCGCGAAGTTGCCGGGGATCCGTTGAGCACGAGTTGGGGGAGTTGAGCGCGCGTTGGTTCAGTGTGCGTGGTCTGTGCGGCACTCGGGATGAGAGACGGGCAACGACTCTGCAGAGCTCCGCCAGGGACCTCCTCCTCCTCCCACCTCGGCCGCAGCGGCAAATGTCAACTTCTCTCGCCGAGACGCGTGTGCTGGTGACAAATCTAGCGACTTGCATTGCAATGCGCGCCGCTTAACTTGCAGCAACGTGCGATTTGCAGAACGGAGCATCCAGACACACGGACGTCTCTCTCTCTATCTTTTTTATCCCCTCCCCACCGGCGAATTCGCGCGCGGACGCGCGGACGCGCAAACTTTGGACGTGCGGAGTTTGCGCCGCGCTCAAAAGCGAGCGCGATGAATGAATTGCGTCGAGAGCCGCAGGGGTCGGGCGGGGTCTGATACGAGGACCTCAATCCTTGATCGTAGCCCGGGGGAGGAGGGGGGGGGAGACCTCGGGGGGGGGGGGTGAAATACCAAAAACCGTTGCCTCGCACCTCGTCATCCGTCATCACGTCCCTTATCGTCAACAACAACAACATCACCACCGCCATGGGTCTGAGCGGACAAGAGGTGACCGGCGACCTGCGGGCCGCGCCGTGCAAGAGCTTCGCGCAGCCCTTCCTCCTCGTCTTCGTCGCGCTGCTCGTCGCGCTCGAGGCGCGACGTTGGCTCCTGCTGCGTCGCCGCGCCCGGAGCTCGCGGGGGCCCCCGGGGCCCTTCCCGTGGCCCATCCTGGGCAACGCGCTGCAGCTCGGCTCGGCCCCGCACCTCGCCATGTGCCGCATGGCGCGGCGCTACGGGGACGTGTTCATGATGAAGCTGGGGGGCCGGCCCGTGCTGGTGCTCAACGGCGCCACAGCCATCCGGCAGGCGCTCGTCAGGCAGGGCGCCGACTTCGCGGGGCGCCCCGCCTTCCCCAGCTTCAGCGTCGTGTCCGACGGCCACAGCATGGCCTTCGGAGGCTACAGCCCCCTGTGGAAGATGCACAGGCGCGTGGCGCAGTCCACGTTGCGCCAATTCTTGTCGTCGGGGAACGCGGAGGCGCGGGCCGACCTGGAGCGCTACGTGGTGTCCGAGGCGGGCGCGCTGCTGGACATCATGTTGGAGCGCAGCAGCGGCGGCCGCTATTTCAATCCGAGCCGCCTCTTCATCCTCGCCATCGCCAACGTGATGAGCGCGCTGTGCTTCGGCCGCCGCTACGACTACGACAACAGCGAGTTCCGGGAGATCGTGAGCCGCAACGACAAGTTCGGCCGCACGGTGGGCGCGGGCAGCCTGGTGGACGTGATGCCCTGGCTGCTGTACTTCCCCAACCCGGTGCGCACCGTCTACCGCGACTTCGTGGCGCTCAACATGGAGTTCAACGCGTTCACGCGGAGGAAAGTGGAGCAGCACCGGGCCGACTTCAAGGCGGGCAGCGTCCCGCGCGACTTCACCGACTCGCTCATCGCCGCCGTGGAGGTGGAGCGACCGCGGAGCGACTCGGGCGAGGCGCTGCTCTCCGGCCAGCACGTGTCCGGGGCCGTGAACGACATCTTCGGCGCCAGCCAGGACACGCTGTCGACCGCGCTCCTGTGGCTCCTCATGTTCCTCGTGCGCTTCCCGAGTGTGCAGCGCCGCGTGCAGGAGGAGGTGGACCGCGTGGCGGGTCGCCACCGGCTGCCGCGCCTCGACGACCGCGCCTCGCTGCCCTACACGGAGGCGTTCGTGTTCGAGACTCTGCGCTACAGCAGCTTCGTGCCCGTCACCATCCCGCACTCCACCACGACCGACACGGAGATCGCGGGCTACCGCGTGCCCAAAGACACCGTGGTGTTCGTGAACCAGTGGTCGTCGAACCACGACCCCGAGCGGTGGCGCGACCCCGAGACGTTCGAGCCCACGCGCTTCCTCGACGAGAGCGGCACCCGCGTGGACAAGGACCTCGCGAGCAACGTGCTCATCTTCTCCGTGGGCAAGCGCCGCTGCATCGGCGACGAAATGTCCAAGATGCAGTTGCTGCTGTTCGCGGCCATCCTGGCGCACCAGTGCTCGTTCGAGGCGGACCCCACGCAGACGCTGACCATGGACAGCTCGTACGGCCTCACGCTCAGGCCGATGCCCTTCCAAGTGTGCGCGCGCGTCAGAGACCACGTGCTCGCGGAGTGCTTCGCGGACGCGCGCCGGCAATCGTAGCGCGCAGTGCCCGCAGCCGCCGGTCCCCGAAGCGCTGTCGTCGCTGTTTGTGCCGTCATAGCTCGCTGGCTCTCACTCGCTCGCTCTCTCCATCCGATGGGGTTGTCGCTTTTGTCGTGCGGTGTCGTTCGGAATGACGGTCCGATGTTCCGCTCCAGGAACTGAATCGGGCAGCTCACTTTCTCCCATTGATTGCATAGCGCTGCCGGCTGCTGCTGCTGCTGGTGATGACGCTTGCTGTTGGTGTGGAGGAGGAGGGGGGGGGGAGCTGCTGAATTGGGTCCTAGCAGATGGAGCTCCCAGCGTGCTGGAGAAGCATGTGGCACGTGATGCCGAGCCACACGCGTGGAGCCCTGTCGTCTGTGAGCACGGACGTAGTCCCAAGTGTGCTGAGCCCGTGTGCCACGATTCATCCCCGCCTCTTCCCCGCGATCAGATTTCGCCGGTTAAGTTAGCGAATCGTTTCCAGAACATGCACATATATATACTGGATATGTGTGGTTTGTCCAGGAATTACGTCTGCGTTTATAACTCCACGTTTGCAGTTTGGCTTGCTTCATTATCCCCAACGTAGCAACGCATTGAAAAATTATTTATAGGCAAGTTGGCATGCATCGTAATCGATTTCTACACATTCGATGCATGGTATCGTGAGCGTAGGAATCGAATGATATGGCATCGTTGCATGAAGTTGGCATGAAATTACGCAATATAAATCGAAAGTGTTTTTTTATCATTATTATTAATAGGACGGATGAGACTTTAGGGACGAGGCGCGCGCGGACCGAGACCATGAAATCGCTTCAAGACTAGTCACGTGTCCATTCGATGGGTGTGGGAGTTGTGACATGACGCGCGTGTGTGTGTACGTGTGTGCGTGTGTGTACGTGTGTGTGTAAGAGGGGAGCGGTAGTGCAGCGGGTAGCACGCTGCGCTACGAACCTGGCTACTCTGGTTCGATTGCCGCTCACGAGAAACACCCAGTGACGATTATCTGAACCGGTCCTGGGCCTCCCCTAGGTCGACTCAGTCTCAAATGAGTACCTGGTGCGGTGTGTAAACATCGCCACTAGGAAGACAAAGGCGGCCGGGCGTGGTGTTGGCCACCCACCGCCTCGTGTGCCGTGCCGGCCTTCATAGGTGCTCGCTAACAGCACTTGCCCCTACAGTCTGTAACAGGCTATACGGGGATCTTTGTCTTTGTGTATGTGTGCGGCTATGTGCCTCGTGAGGCCAGATGAGCGACGCTCACGCCAACGAGTGGAGCGCCGGGCGGATAAAATGGAGCAAGTTGGCACCGTAGGGGGGCAGCACAGCTGGTGCAGCTACCGGTCATCTCAGTCAGTCAACCCATGGCACCTGCTGGGTTTGTCCCGTGACAGCGAGCCGTCGACACTTCACGTGGCCTCGAAGTGCACCTGGCCTGGCACAGGCACCGTGGTGACTTCTCTGACTTTTGTCCAGTAGCGTGCATCGCGTGTGTGTGTGTTCGTGTCAGTAGACAGTGACTGATGTTTATTGTTTGCGTAAGTTATTTTTTTTTAAACAAAGTGTACAGTATATCTACATAATCTCGCTATGCGTACATTACGTACGCCATAAAATATAAATATATATTGCAGACCTTGGCGTGATGCGCGTAACAGCTTCAATGCCAAAACTTTTGAGGCGTTTAAAGGTAGCTGTTCTTGTAACCCGCATGCTCGTTGTAGTGATCGCCACGGCAATCAAGTTATTAACTACGATGGCGGACTATTTTCATGTTGTCGTTTCGTTGACTTATTCGTCGTCGGTCAACTCTGTCGTCTTAAATCGGCCCAGATAAATCATCGACCGTCCGTCATCAGCACCATCATCATCATCTCACAACCTCATCATCATAGTCGCATTTATCTCGATCTTTGTCATCCACTCACCAACCACGATCATCATCGCAACCCATGATCTGTCCATCCTATCTAATTGCTAATCTACCTGATCAATTTCACCAATTTGCTCCCATCCATCCATCTGCATCGGTCACCATCTTCACTGCCTCGCCATCATCGATCAGTAGACACCCACGATACCCCCGTCTTGTTATGCGGAGCGTGCCAACTCGAACCTCTGTGCCCACGTGCTGCCACTGCTGCCACGTGCTGCCACTGCTGCCACGTGCTGCCACTGCTGCCACGTGTTGCCACGTGCTGCTACTGCTGCCACGTGCTGCCACTGCTGCCACGTGCTGCCACGTGCTGCTACTGCTGCCACGTGCTGCCACTGCTGCCACGTGCTGCCACGTGCTGCCACTGCTGCCACGTGTTGCCACGTGCTGCTACTGCTACCACGTGCTGCCACGTGCTGCCACTGCTGCCACGTGTTGCCACGTGCTGCTACTGCTACCACGTGCTGCTACTGCTACCACGTGCTGCCACGTGCTGCCACGTGCTGCCACTGCTGCCACTGCTGCCACGTGCTGCCACTGCTGCCACGTGCTGCCACGTGCTGCTACTGCTGCCACGTGCTGCCACTGCTGCCACGTGCTGCCACTGCTGCCACGTGCTGCCACGTGCTGCCACGTGCTGCCACTGCTGCCACTGCTGCCACGTGCTGCCACGTGCTGCCACGTGCTGCTACTGCTGCCACTGCTGCCAGGTGCTGCCACTGCTGCCACTGCTGCCACGTGCTGCCACTGCTGCCACTGCTTGGTCATTCCGCTCACGTCTCCTCCTCCTCCATCCTCACCTCGCTGGCACCCTGTGCCTTTCTAGGGCGCTAATTCTAGATTTGAAGCTTTCGTGACTGCAAGGATTCATACTCTTAGGTTGTTTCGGTAAAGGTCACGTAGGTAAAAAATAAAAGTAATAATGGAATTTTTTTTTTAGCTGTGACGATCCCACCTGATGACGGAGACTTGTGTTGCCTCCGAAACGTCGTGATATATTATTTTATTTTATTTCCATTATTACTTTTATTAACTTTTAATAGTATTTTTTACCTACGTGACTTTACCGAAAAAACCGAAGAGTATATTTCTAGGGCGACTCCACGTGGGCTGCTGGCTTGAGTTTGTGGGGGGGGGGGTGGAAGTGAGTGTGGGGGGGTATGAGAGGAGGAATCGGGGGAAGATGCAATGGAGAGACGGCAGGGAGCGTTGTTAGAAGTGGGAGGGGTGGTGGTGCAGGGAAGGAGGGGAGGGCGGGCGGGCGGGCAGCCTGGGCTCGCGTGCGAGCGTGTGGCGAGCGCGCACACTTTTCGCACGCTCTGCCTGATTGATGGAGGGGGTGGAGGTGGGTTTTTTTTGTTGGGGGAGGGGGGGGCTGTCCGTGCGCCGCGTGTGTTGCGATGCTCACGACCAACCGGACTTTCCAGGAACTTGCCTCTCGGCTTTGCCAACACGGCACCAACGATGGACTCGTGTGACTGTGTGTGTGTAACTGTATCTGAGTTCTCGGCGCGCGCGTTGTTTGTAAATGTGTGAAGGCTGCCGAGCGTGTGGGGAGTGCGTGCAGCTTTGTGAGTGTGTGCATCTGTGTAGAACTGGTTGTTGCGTGTGCCTTCATAGGTGCTCGCTAACAGCACTTGCCCCAACAGTCTGTCAAGGCTGTACGGGGGATCTTTGTCTTTGTGCGGTGAGGAGCGGCAGTGTAGTGGTTTTGGCACGTCCGCGGTACAAACCCGGCGATCCGAGTTCAACACCGGTGACGATTATGTGAAGCGGTCCTGGGCCTCCCCTAGGTCGACTCGGCCTCAAATGAGTACCCAGTGCGGTGTGTAGTAAACATCACCACTGGGGAGACAAAGGCGGTCGGGCGTGTTGCTGTCCACCCACCCCCTCGTGTGCCGTTCCGGCCTTCATAGGTGCTACTCGCTCACAGCACTTGCCTGTTCAAGTGCTCCCCATGAGATCTTCGTCTTTCGTGCGTGTGTGTGCAACTTTGAGTCTGCGTGCAATCTGTCTGTATGACAAGTTGCGTGTCTGTGTGGCTGTGATTGTTTTGTGTGGCTGTATGCAAAATAAACGTTCTCCTGTGTGTGTGTCTGTATTGCATCTCGTGTGTGCGCGTCTGGTACTGTGTTGCTTGTGTGATTGTTGTTGTACTTGGTGTGTGTGTGCGTGTGTGTACGTGCCCTAGTGGTGTCTTTTCATCTGCATTGCATCTGTGCGTGTCAATATTTGTACGTCGCTCGGGGCGTTTGTCCGCGTGCGTGTATCATATGTGATTATTAATGCATGTGTGTTCAGCCTTTATCAGTGAACCATTCCCACTGTCGCTTGCATGTTTTTGTCCGTTTAGCAAGCCTACGGGGTTTATTAAATATATACTGTATGTGCAACATGAAAAGTAATGTATAATCACATGTGATAAGTTTTATAGTATTTGTAAAGTCGTAAACTTACGTTGCAATACTACATTTAATGTGACCGCGAGTTATATAACGCCTGTTCCGATGTAAACCTGTGGTACGGCTGATATCATGATCTTATATACAGCTCCAAGCATTGTTGTATAACTGTACACATTATAATGGTAGCAAATCGATGCATTTATGCGCGGTTAGAGGCTGCAATTCACGTACAAAAAAAGAGTATTTATTTCGCCGCGTGCACGTAGCGCAATCGACAGTTCGCACGCGGTTTCTTGCACCAGGGCCTCTTGGGAGGAGCGATGGCCCAAGTTGTTGGCGCGTCTCGGCTCACGAGGCATTCCACATCATTGTTGATGTTCGATTATCGACCGCGGCTATAAAACATCAGTGGCGAGTTGCGATAGCCGGAACCGATCCTGGGCACGCACGCCGGCGTGGGAGGCAAGGAGGCCTTCATCCGGCAATGAATGTGATTGTTTTTTTGTTTTGTTTTAAAGAGGGGCCCTAAATTGCGCAAGGCTGGTGTCCTGAGCACGAGGTCACCGTTCATCGTTCCGGTCGCTCAGAAAGGGTGATTTTGATTCAAATGCGCTTGTGTCATTCAACTGCATTCTGGCTCGCCGAGTTTTTATTTTGTTTAAGAGCGCCCGGGTTGATGGACACGTGACGAGCGCTCGATGGCGCGGGGGGCACGTGGAGTGTGTGGGCCCTGTACAGTGAAAGGCGCGCCCCACGACTTGGTTGTAGCCGGAGTCGAACGCATTGTGGAGAACTCGAGCGGTTGTGTGGGTGTGTTTCGTTTGTTGTCCTTTCCCCCCACCATCCACTCACCCACCCCCGCAACTATCAATTATCGTGGTTGGCTACGTACGGTGCAAAAGAAGTTCAACATAGATATTTACTGCTCGCCGAGAGAGAGTTTAGCCGAGTGACTTGAGGGCTGAGGCTGGCACAATAGCGGCCTATGCTGTGGTGCATTGCAGGAGGTCATGGGTTCGATCTCGACCATGACGCCTGCATATTTGGAGTTTGCATGTTGTCTTTCTTCCAGTGCTCGTGTATATTTTTCTCCGGGTCGTCCGGGTTTTACGCTTCCACGTTTAGAAACGTGCGTTTAAAGTGTTTGGCTGCTGTACATTTCTATATGATGAGCCACTTCGTTGAGCTATGATGTGTGGCCAGGTCGCTTTTTAGAACGAGCTACGTAGCTCAGTGGGCCTTACCTGCTAAAATACCCAAATATATATATCGTTTATATTCTGTGGTTCTTTCGGTAAAGTCACGTCCGCTTGTGTTGCGCTCGAAACGTCGTGATGTATATTTTAGTCACTTTATTTGTATGATTTTATTGTTTATTTTTTATATCTACGTGACTTTATCGAAAGAACCATAGAATATGAATTCCTGCAGTCACGAAGGTTTTAAGTCAACATTTATATATAGTTTAGTTTAGAATCAAAAAGGTTTCTCGGAGTTTTGAGCTGCGGCCGTATAGTCTATCATTTTCCCTGAGATGACCTTACTGAGTGAGCAGTTTAACAAAACACCCGAAAAGTAAGTTACGTTTTAACCCAGCAAATCCTCTTCGGGTCTCAAGACTCCCATTTGTAGGAGGACACAATCACGGGACGCTGTACACACTCGTCAATAGCACTGCTTAAAAGTGAACACAACGCCATATAATGAGCGACGTTCCGAGCAATGGCCCTTTTCAGGGACGGCTCTACTATCATTGGGCATGTTTGGCCAATCCCACGAATGAGTGTTAGGCTTCGTGTGGGAGGAATTCCAAATGCGCTGCGATCGGCCACCCAACGGCTCCGTCGTTGGATGTTGATTTGATTGACGACCGCCGTGCATGACAAGCGTTTGATGTTGTGGGGCTACGTTGTGGGTAGTATTATAGTTGACAGATGTCGACTGAAACATCTGTGAACGAATGGACATCTGTGAAAAAAGAGCTTCATAGCTCCTCGGATTCCTCCCAGTAATAAACAAATATTCTGATTCTGATAGAGCGGTGCAGAGAAAGCCGATGGTGTACCTTACAATGCTCCCCGCGTTCATTCAAACCGACGCCGTCCAGCGTGGTGAAATATGGTCGAACAACACCGCTGATCGACAATCGGTGTGGGGGGAGACCTTCATCCAGCAGTGGATCGGCGCATAGTGGTGGCGTTAAATAAAGCGTCGGCGAGTTTTTGTGTTGTTGAGACAAATGAATTGGAAGGAAATGAAAAATGCGATTGTTCCACTACCCAAGCCGGCCGAGACCCTATGCGTGCCGCGTGAGCCGTCACGTGTATTCGCGGTTTAGAGGAAACGAGTAGGCGAATATAAAAGTAATAGTTGATGTTATAATCGTTTAAAATAATAATCATCATTCGCCGCGATTCGTGTTTTGAAGAAATGCCGTAGAATTGTGAAAGGGCGTTGTTTTATGTTCAACGTGTATGGACACGAATTATATTCGGCCAATCTATTGTGGAATTGTTACGTGCTGAATGATATAACGACAATGTTAGGTGGTTTCTGTCGTTTTTGAAATATCATTTGTATTTTACCTTTTTTGTGTTTTATGGGTTCGTCAGATATTTATACGGTGTGTGTGTGTACATATATGATATGTTACAAACAGTATAAACGAATTGCATCAATATTCCGTGATATGTAGGCAATGTTGTATTCTACCTCCGACGTACAATAAAGCACTTTACACTCGATGGACGTGGTTGAAGAATGATGCGCGCATTGCTGTAATCCCAAAAAAAACCCCAACACATCACTATGAACACGGCGAAAGTCCGAGTTCGATCCCTGGCCGAAACACCTTGCTCTCGGTCAACCTGCATATGTTTTTTTTTTTCAAATAAATTATAAACATCTAAATGTTATTTTTTACGGCAAAAAGACGCCGAAAATATTCGGTCACGTGGGGTACAGAAAGTCTGCGGGGATCGATTCCGGGGCGTGACGGAACCACACGAAAAGTTTGGGGGTGGTGAGAAGGGGGGTGGGGGGGGGGTGAGAAGGGGGGGGGGCGTTGCTGCCCCAGCCGAGTGAAAGGGGGGGGGGGCAAAGAGACACCCTTAAGAAACAATCCTAGAGGTTTTTTTTGGGTTAGATCTCGTAACTATGTGTCGTTAAAAAAACCCGCCACCTTTCCGACACATCCAATTAGTAAGCGTTGTCACGTAAAGAAAACGTCACAACTCGTTACTATTTCAGCACACTCGGTGTGAGTACGACGTTGTCGCCGGTAATTACGACCAGCCTCATCAGGCAACAGCCAGAGTTGGATAATATTGGTCGCGGAAGCCTACGTTTCTTTTTAAAACCAAATAATCAGCTTGCTGAGGAAAAGCCAGGGATGGGAGGGGGGGGATGAGGGGAGTGCGGGGAGGGGGGCCAAATAAAACCCCTTAAGAAACAAATGAAACAACATGCGGCGAGTGGCCTTCCAGCGGAGGGTGTCGGCAGGTATCAAAGTCAACACGCGGAATGGGGTTGGGGAGGCGGTGGGGGCTGGTTACATTTGTTGCAGAAGTTAGCGGTTCGAATCCAGCGGCTGCCCCGGACGATTAGTGAGGATTGCAATAGCGGTAGCAGTCCACTCTCTCTGCTTCCATATAGAACACCCACTCTGCCCCCCCCCCTGACCCCCCTCCCAACGTCATGCGCAAGGG